CACAGCTGTGCCCCGCCCTCTCCGTGGGTCGCTGAGGGTTTTTTCGGCTCGTTCAGTCTGTCCCGCATCGCCTGGGGAGCTGTCACGGCAGGAGCCAAGGAAGGAGAGACAGACATTAGGGAAGGAGGGTGCTGTAAGACCTTAGAGCAAATACTGTAGAACTTGTCTTAGGTGTGTTTTCCTTTGGTAACACTAGTTAGATCTCCTGAGAGTTTTGCTGGGGGAGAGGTGAGAATGTGTTCCCTCAGCACTTGAAGGACTGGAGCAGGTCCAGAGAAGGGCAGCCAAGCTGGTGAAGGGTCTAGAGGTCAAGTCTTATGAGGGAACTGATAACATTTAATCTAGAGAAAAGGAGGCCAAGGGGAGACCTCATTGCTGTCTATGTCCTGAAAGGAGGCTGGAGTGAGGTGGGAATCTGTCTTTTCTTCCTAGTTATGAGTGATAGGATTAGAGGAAAAAGGCCTCGGGTTGTGCCAGGGGAGGTTTTGATTAAATATCAAGGAAAACGTCAAGTCTTATGAGGGAACTGATAACATTTAATCTAGAGAAAAGGAGGCCAAGGGGAGACCTCATTGCTGTCTATGTCCTGAAAGGAGGCTGGAGTGAGGTGGGAATCTGTCTTTTCTTCCTAGTTATGAGTGATAGGATTAGAGGAAAAAGGCCTCGGGTTGTGCCAGGGGAGGTTTTGATTAAATATCAAGGAAAACGTGTTCACCAAAAAGGTTGTCAGGCCCTGGAACAGGCTGCCCAGGGGAGTGGTGGTGGAATCACCATCCCTGGGGGTATTTAAAAGACATGTAGATGTGGTGCTCAGGGACGTGGCTTAATGGTGGCCTTGGCAGTGCTGGGTGAACAGTTGGACTTGATTACCTTAAGGGTCTTTTCCAACCAAAAGGATTCCAGGATTGAGAAAACTGGTGTGGAGAGCAAGCAGTCCCTGACAGGCATTTCAGGTGTAGGGCAGAGGCCTCTTTTGTGTAACAATTAAACAACGCAGTGGCTTTTGAGAATAATATCTCACTTCTAACCCCTTCTTCTGCCTTAAGCTAAGGAGGAGGTGTCTCCAGAGAAGAGGAAGCACGCTGTGAAGGCAGCAGGGCAAACCCCTTGTGGCCAGACTGGCTTCAGTGACAGCAACTCAAAATGGCTGGCTCCAGCCAAAGCCAAGAAAACCCCATCTAAACGAAACAGCCTGGAGTTATCCAGTGATGGTGAGGTGGAAGAGGGCAGCTGGGAGATGGAGGAGGATGAGGATGGGAGCAGCGAGGAGATGGTGGATGACTACGGTGCCGCATCGTCAGAGGAGGAAGAGGTAGGAGCTTTTTGCTCTTAACTGTGCAAGAAATAGTTGGCTTTTCTGGCTGAAAGGACCCATCAGGCTTGGGGAAAACAGGTGACTTTACTGGGGGAGTGGATGGTGAGGTGATGGGCAGCTTTTTCCTCCTTCCCTTCACAAGAATAATTTCAAGTTTAACAGTTGATTCAAGCATCACATTTGATGGTTTTTTCTTGTCCTCTTTTTAAACAGAGCAAATAAAATTAAAAGATGATGGGGAGTAAGGGGGCACCTGGGGATATTGTCTGATTTATCTTTTCTCTCTGTTTAGTTGCTGCCTATTGAAAAAGCTGCCCTGAAGCAGAAGCTTGACAGGTGAGGATCTGAGAACATTGCCATATAACAGAGTCTTTTCTGGTTAGATGAGGAGCATGTGTTGTTAATTTTTCCTCTTCTCTTCAATCTGAGAAATCATAGTTACGAAGTGTCTGTGTGATACGCTTGTGTAAAAAATGTGTCTTGTTCTTCATCATTAGGGGAGGCCTTAGTGAAGATGACAGTGAAGAGGAGGAAGAGGAGGAGGTGGCAGAGGAGGCAGCAGAAGAGGCAAGCAGGCAGAAAATGGGACAGAAGGAGGAAGAGGGCCCAGATCTGCAGCTCAACCTGGATATAGATGAACAATTTAAGCTGCCAACTAGTGAACAGATTGAGAGAGAGGATATCCTTTTTATCTGTGGCACCCACAAGGCACAGGCGTGTGGCAGCGCTGGGCCTGGACACAACAGAAGAGCTTCATTTGCACTTTTATCAGGAGCATTACTTAGCAAGAGTGCTTTGTGCATGACAAGGGTATTTTTAGCTGAGCTGCCCTAGCTATAGGCTACAATGGTGTGCTTCTGCATGGCACAGTTAGAAAATCTGTTGTGTCCTGCATGGAGCTTGGAGCCTGCCCCACTTTCCTGCCTGCTCTTCAATGCATGTGCACATCTTATCGTGTAGCTCATTCCTCTGTACCCTGATTTTCCTGGCAGGTATTTGGCTGACTCATTCCTAGAGCCTCTGATGGCAGTGATTCCTCTTGGGCTTGGGTGATTTTAATTGCCTGCCCTCCAGTACAATTTAATGCTTCCTCTTCTTACTTTCCTCTGCATCCCTTAGTCACCATTGGGGAACTTCTAGTCTCCTTTCCGATAACAGGTCTTTTCCGTATGAAAAGGCTTTTTTGCTGCCTTCCTAGTTTTTTCCCTTTATCTAAAGGAACTAACCAAATTATTTTAAACACTTTGTAGCTCCTACTGTGTGAACTTTTTTTGCCTGGCTCCATTCTTTTGAATCCCCTCCTCTGCTGAGCTCCGACGCCAGGCCTCCCTGGCGCGGGTGGTGTTGCGGGTGCGGAAGTCCCGGTGGTGTGAAACTGCCTGCAAGTGGCTTGGCACTTTTATGGTTCCTTAACAGTCCTTCTTACCTGCTGAGCCACCGGACCTGCACGTCATTCACCAGCGCATCAAGGGCAACATGGAGGTGCTGCAGGACTTTGTGGTGAGGCGGGAGGAAGGCCACACGCGGCAGGAGTACCTGGCCGTGCTGCGCCGGGACATGGCTGCTTACTATTCCTACAGTGACTTCTTGCTGACAAAGCTCATGGACATCTTTCCACTCCCTGAGGTAGGATCCCACCCCTCTCTTTGCTGACTGATGAGGATTTGGGCTGCTTCACAGAACACCAGGAGTTGGAAGGGACCCCGAAAGATCACCCAGCCCAACCCCCCTGCCAGAGCAGGGTCACCCAGAGCACATCACACAGGAACGTGTCCAGGCGGGTTTGAATGTCTCCAGAGAAGGAGACTCCACAGCCTCTCTGGGCAGCCTGGCCCAGGGCTCTGTCACTCTCACAGGAAAGAAGTTCTTCCTGATATTCACACGGAACCTCCTGTGCTCCAGTTTGCATCCATTACCCCTTGTCCTATCACTGGTCATCACTGAAAAAAGCCTGGCTCTGTCCTCCTGACACTCACCCCTTACATATTTGTAAACATTGATGAGGTCACCCCTCAGTCTCCTCTTCTCCAAGCTCAAGAGACCCAGTTCCCTCAGCCTTTCCTCATCAGGGAGATGTTCCACTCCCCTAATCATCTCTGTGGCTCTGTGCTGGACTTTCAAGCAGTTCCCTGTTCTTCTGGAACTCAGGGGCCCAGAACTGGACACAATATTGCAGATGCAGCCTCACCAAGGCAGAATAGAGGGGGAGGAGAACCTCCCTTGACCTACTAACCACTCCCTTTCTAATGCCCTGGGTTGATGTTTTCATCTCTTCTTTCATCCAGCTGATAAACTTCCTGGAAGCTAATGAGGTTCCTCGCCCTGTCACCATTCGCACCAACACACTCAAGACGCGGCGACGGGACCTGGCGCAGGTGAGCAGGAACCTGTGGTTGTCTCCTGCCCTGCCTGTCACACAGGGTGGTGCCTCAGCCCCCTTTCCTTGTCTTGCAGGCTCTCATCAACCGCGGCGTCAATCTTGACCCCTTGGGGAAGTGGTCGAAAACGGGACTTGTTATTTATGACTCCTCTGTGCCCATTGGTGAGACCACCCTTTCTGTCATAGGACAGAGCCAACTCACTCTTGGCTCTGTTTCCTTCACGTGTCTCTGTTTCCTTCACATGGCTCTGTTTCCTTCACCTTTTGTTCTGCCTTCCCTGCCCAGGTGCCACCCCTGAATATCTGGCTGGGCACTACATGCTGCAAGGAGCCTCCAGTCTCCTCCCTGTCATGGCTCTGGCTCCACAAGAGAACGAACGGATCCTGGATATGTGCTGTGCCCCAGGAGGCAAGACCAGCTACATAGGTACCACTCTGGGCAGGAGGTGTGGGAGGGGTGCTCTGCAAAGTGACAAGTTTCCACTGGTCGATACTGAAAGACAGAACAGAGCAAGGTGGACTCAGTGAAAGGAAGGGGGTGGCTGTCCCTATGGGTCAGCTGTTTTCAGTTCTCAGCCCCTGGCTGATGTGTTTTGCCCCCTGGCAGCTCAGCTGATGAAGAACACGGGAGTGGTCCTGGCCAATGACAGCAACGCAGAGCGGCTGCGCAGCGTGGTGGGGAACCTGCACCGCCTGGGGGTCACCAACACTGTCCTGAGCAACTGCGACGGGCGCCAGTTCCCCAGGGTGTGTTTCTGCCTGCCTTGGGCTGCCCTGGCCTAGAACTGCTGTGCTGTCCCTCTGTAGTGGAGCTCTGTTCTCTGAAGCTCCTTGTCACAGGATGGGGAGCAGAGCTGGGGAGTGTGTTGTTTGGTATGGACTCAGGTTTACTGGGAGAAGTGAGGGATCTTTCCTGCTTTCCCAGGCTGATGGTTCTCCTTCTAGTCTTGGTCTTGTTGAGAGTACTCACTGATGAGCCTAACTCCCAACTGTACATCTGCCTGTAGGTGCTTGGAGGGTTTGACCGTGTCTTGCTTGACGCTCCTTGTAGCGGAACAGGTGTTATCTCCAAGGATCCTGCTGTCAAAACCAACAAGGTTAGTGACCAGTGGGGACACAAGGTGGGGACTTGGGTATGAGTTGTGGGAGGAGAGACTTGAGGGCAGCTCTGTTCTCGAGAGACACCTGCAGTAGGGAGACTGGTTTTTCCTTCTCTTTCCTATTCTGCTCTTTTGGTTTTTTGAAGTTAGTTCTACAGAAGATTCTAGACTCTGGTATATGATGTGCTTTGCTCTCCTGTCACCCCTCCATCCACAAGAGAGGCCTGGGATGCTTCCCTGTGCCTCTGGCATCCTAACCTGTCTTTCAGGATGAGAAAGACATTCTGCGCTGTGCCCACCTGCAGAAAGAGCTGCTTCTCAGCGCTATAGATTCAGTCAATGCTGCCTCAGAGACAGGGGGCTACATTGTCTACTGCACTTGCTCCATCATGGTAAGTCCTCTTGGCGCTCTGCTGTGGTCACCTTCTACCTGGGGGACCAGTGAGCCTTGGGTGCTGATGCTGAGCCTCTGGCAGGTGGAGGAGAATGAGTGGGTTGTGGATTACGCCCTGAAGAAACGCAACGTTCGTTTGGTGGCCACAGGCCTGGACTTTGGCAAGGAAGGCTTCACCAGGTGTGTACCAGGCCACAAGCTGTATGGATGGCCTGTTTAAGCAGAGGTGTTCTGTCCTTCCTCACCCCATTTCCTCCTCCAGGTTCAAGGACCGTCGCTTCCACCCCTCCCTCAAATCCACACGGCGTTTCTATCCCCACACGCACAACATGGATGGGTTCTTCATTGCTAAGTTAAAGAAGTTCTCCAATGCCATCCCCCAGGCACAGAAAGGTAACTCAGTGCTGGAGTTCTGCTCAGCTGCCTGCGCCAGTTCTCACAGGCCACTTCCCCCACAGAAGCCATGGAGGTTCTTCCTACAGCACCTTTATCTCTCATTTCAGATGAAGAACCCGCCGTGGAAGCAGCAACTCCATCTGCTGTCCCTGATACCATCATAGAACCTCAGCCAAAAAAGAAGAAACTTGAGGGATCAAAAGTTGTCAAAGAGCAGAAGCCACCACACCCTGCTTTGAAGAAGACACGTTCATTGCAAGCACAGAGGAGACCACTGAAGGCTGGCCGGCCTTCTCCAAAAATGATGCGTCCTCAGGTCCCTGGCAGAAAGAAGCACAGAGTGAAACCAAATGGACAGTGAGAGGAACTGCTTTTCCAAGGGTTGGTCACCTCCTTTGGAAAACAAATGCTAGGGGCTGCTGCAGCTACATGTGTAGCACCTTGTCTTTCCTGCTCTTTGCAGCGCTGCGTCTGGGACAGTGATGGCTCTGTTTGCTCCTTTCCCTCCTCTGCATCAAGGACTGATGCACTGACCCATTAAAAGTTTTATACTCTTGTTCCAGTCTTGTATTTTTCCTTTGAACACAGAGCACAGAATTCTGCCAGGTCCACTTCTCTGCAACAGAAACCCCTTCCATTCCAATGTGCTGCTGTGGCATTCC